TGGTGAGCCAGAGGTAGGGGACGAAGGCATCCACAAAGATATACTGGGGGCAGGAAGGAAGGAGAAAAACAGGCAGTCAGCCTCCTGGAGATCAGAGCAGGGCACAAGCTACCAGGGAGAGGGAGACAGATCCTGGGGGAGCATTTGGGTGGCTGAACTGTGGACCTTGGCCCAGTTGCCCTCTCCTTTGGAGAGGGGAATATCCATGGGGATGGCGAGTGGCAGCTCAGCTGCTGCAGGGCAAGGACATCCCACCTCACTTTATGAGAGCTTCAGCTGGGATAAAGATGCCCTCATCCCTCCCTCTCCAAGGGCTCGTCCCTCCTCACCCGCTGGTTGTCGGCCGGGCTGTGGTAGAACTGGGAGATGGCCACGGCGCTGCTGTTCCCGTCCCCGAAGCTGAACCGCTCCGAAATCTTTTTAAAGCTCTTCCCGTAGTCGTAGGAGACGTAGACCTGGAGGAACACGCTGGGTTACAGCGGGCAGAGGCCACACGGTGCCAAGGCAGAGGTGAAGCAAGAAGGAACCCGCAGCTGCTCCGTGCCGGAGCCGGGCAGCATCACCATGGGGTACAGCACTCTGCGTGCTGCTGGGGGGTCTGCTGTGCCAGAATTGACCCCAAAATAGTGTGGGGTCATCGTCACACTATGCTTATCTCCCAGGGCAAACCTGGGGGCCTCTCCAGCATCTCTGCACGGAGCAGGAGGCTGTGAACGCTCGCCCGGTGCCGCGGGAAGGGCAGGCTGCGGTACTTACGTCGCTGTTTTTGGGACCCAGCAAAGACAGGCTGTCTCTAGCCAAGGCCACGATCACGTTGCTCTTCTCTCCTGCCCAGTGAACGACCATCTGGTTGTGGGAGTCGTTGAGGCTGACCTGCAGCGCGGAGGAGAAGGGCACCGCCGTCAGCCTGGGCTGCGGGGGAGGCTGCCGGCACCGGCTCAGCCCGGGAAACGCACGGGGTTTGGGGAAACTCCTCCAAACTGGGGCTTGGGGAAGCTCATTCGAACCGTGAGATGAAAACCCCGAAGGCAATAAGCTTGGGGGCTTCATGCCCAGCTCCTTGGAGCTGGGAATGCGTTTATTGTGAGTACCAGCCAGGTGCTCAGCACTCGCTGCAAGCTACCACAGGGTTAAAGCACCGAGAAGACTTCCCCGGGGAGGAGGCGGTAAAGGAGCATCTGTTATGAACATGCTGGCGAAACCTATGTGTCTGAAGGGGTTCGTTTTCCTCATATTTTTCCTCGGTGAAAGAGGATTTGGGGGATGACAAGAACAAAAATGACCCCCAGGTTGTGCTGGGGCAGGGAAGGGTCCCTCCGGGGATGCCATCGCAGCCCCACTCCAGCAGGAGCTGAAGGTGCAGGAGCTCTGCACAACCCCGCTGTCTGTAGGCAAGCTGCAGAAATACGGGGCTAAGCCCTTCTTAGGGCTGATGCCCTGCAGCTCCTGCTCCCCCCCCCCCAGCGACCAGAAAATAAATGCTTGGGAAAAACGAGGGTTTTATTCTGCCAGGGGGGGAGGCGAGTGGAACAGAAGTCTCCAAATCCCTCTTATATAATGGGTTCGTGCAAAGGGGGAGAAATAATAATAAAAACAAATTAAAACCATGCAGGGGGGGCAGTGAGAAGCACCCCAGGGTCTGTGCCCAGCTCAGCTCGGCACAGTCCCGGTCTCCCCTTTTTCCCTGTTAAAAGCAAAACATCACATCTAATTTTTTTTTATTTTTTTTTAGGTATATTTTGGTTATTCTAGTTATTTTGTTCAGATTCCCAGTTGTGATTCCCAGCGGTGGCTTCAGATTTATTGCTGTCGGAGTTTGGGGAGAGGGGGGCTGTGGGTGCAGGGTCCCTGCAGGGGTCCAGTGCCTGCTCCTGAAGGCAAGGCAGTGCCAAGGGGTGCCTGGCCTCCCCCAGGCACATTTTCTCCAGGAAGGGTTTGTCACCGCCTCCACGGCGTGTTCAGTAGCACTTTGCACATTTTTCTGCCAGAAATCTGATGCCAGAACTGTTCCCCCCCCCAAAAAAAAATCCAGATCAGGAGGCTCCCACCTGTGCCTGGCTTTAAACTCACACTCACATCTAAAGCTTTTTCCCCCATGAGCCAAAAAGGGGACCTGTCACTGGGGAAGGGAAACTGGGGACGTGTGGGCACACCCCAGGGCTGGGACAGGGCTCTGGGCTGCCCAAGGAGCAGCTGAACCTCGTTAGCGCTCAGGACCTGGGGCAGCCTAATTAGGGCTGAGCCCTTATATAAAGGCTGAGCCGATGTTAGCTGAGGTTTGGCTGCCTGGGAGGAAGGAGGAAGTGGTGCTGAGGGTTTGTGCTCAGCAGAAAGCTCTGGGCAGCTGCAAGCTGCTGACCTGGGCTTTACCAAAGAGCCTGAAGGCACCAGGAGGCTGCCCTGTGCTGTAAGTCCCCCATTAATTGAAATTTTGGTGATCCCAAATGCTGTGGAGATGTGACACTCAGGGCAGTGATAACCAGGACCCCAATCCTTGCTCTCTGGGTAGCCTCGTGCCCCAAGCTAACAGCTCCTGCTGCCTGGTTGACCAGGATGTGTCCTGTGAAATAGAATAAAATCTCTTATCCCTGCCCTGAGCAACCTGTCCCTGCTTGCAGGGGTGACACTCACTCGGCAGACCCCAATGGCACAGTCCCTGGTTCCCCTGGTGCAGGAACCTTCCCCAGGAGCTGCTCGGACCTAAAAGGAGGCAATGGCCGGTGCCTAATGGAAGCAGCATTTAGCGTAATTTCCTCTTAACGGGGCTGTGTTTTGGTCTCTGCCAAGTGATTAAGTGTATATGAAATATGCATGAAATTCTAATTTGTCCTCCCAGTACGTGAGGTGCCAGATGAAGTCCGGGAGGGGAGAACTGGAGCCAAAGCACAGAGGAGGCTGCTTGGTTTTCCTCCTGTTAGCAGCATCCCCCAACACGTGGAAGCTGGGAAGGGACAAGAGGGCATCCCCTGGAGCTGATGTCTGGCCAAGCAGGTGGGAGCTTCCTTGGGGTGTGAAGGGCAGAGCCTGACCCCGAGCTTGGGTGCTGTCTGTGCTGGGGGGGGTGGCACTGCCATGGGATGTGTGACCACAGCACGGACACCTCGTGTGAGCTGCTAGGCAGGAGCTTCTCAGGCCTGGCTGCTGTCAGACCTCAGCACATGCTTTTCATGAAGAAGTGACGTGGTGCGAGCCCTCGGTGCTGGAAAAATGGGGCTGCACAAGGCAAAAAAAAAAAAAAAAAAAAAAAAGCCTCCTAGGGTTATGGGTTTTTTTTTCCTCCGTCCTTGTTACGTAACGAAAATGAGATGCTTAAAAACAAATGCGGTTCCTAGAAAATTTCTGAATAATTAATAGGCTATTACCAGGGCTTGATAAGCGAGCCCGTTGGAGAGCCACGGGCCTCTGCGGTTTTGAGCTGCTGCCGAAACTTTCAAGGTTTCTTGGCAGGAGGGGGGACACGAGCCCTGCAGGCATGGTGTGGGTGCTTTGCTGGTTCGGCTGAAACCTTTGTGCAACCCCCAGCAAGCTGTGGCCATGAGCCGTGAGCCACTGCTTGCTTAGGGCGCTCAGAGAGCAATGCCAAAGGTTGCAGAAAAGGCCCTGGCTAAATATTTTGCTCCTGTTAGCCGGAGAATGGGGACACAGCAAGCGGGATCAGAAGCAAAGCTGCTGCTCGGGTAGCTCAGGGCTTTGGAAGTGTAGGATCTGCACCTCTTGTCCCATGGCTTGCTGGAAGCTGCGGTGGGCTGGTGCTAGCCCGTCCCTCCCCGTGCCCCCAGCGAGGTTTGTGCCATGGTCTGGCACCACGGGGAGCCACGAGGCAGCACCCACCCCGTGTGCCTGCTACATCCACGGCACGCTGAGCTCCTCGTGTGCTCCCCCTGAAGCTCCGTTACCGTTCCTTCTGCTCGGCTCCCGAGCATCTGCTTCGATCCCTGCCACGGTATTTTAAAATACCTTCTGTGCCTGCCGCGGCGCTGCTTGTGGCTTGGACTGCAAATGCCAGGGCCTGAAATCATTGATATGAAACACGGGTGACTCATTTCAGAGAGTGCCAGGCCCATCTTAATTCTGCTAATACCGAAATCATCTGCTTGCAGAGCTGTTTTCTCTCTGCTACCACCAACAGAGCTCTCCTTTTGCTGCTGTGCCTGAAAGAAAGGCAAAGGGGGAATGGAGGGGGGAAAATTGGGGTTGGGAAGGAAGGGACAGGGGGCATGGGGACCAGTGCCAGGATGTGTTGTCCTGGATGCCACCAGAAGGTCCCCGTCTGATCCGGGAAGGTCTCCGCAGGGCCAGCAATCTAGGTCAAAATTAAGTACGGTTCAAATCCGATGTAGTGCAATTGATTTCTCTGCTCACATAGCTGGGTGGCTTTACCCTGCGAAGCGCTTTTCTGTGTCTTTGGAAAGAAGAACGGCTCTTTGGCACTTTGCAGGTCATCAGGGGCTAGGTGGGCTCGCATTCGGGGATGTGCTAATGGCCTCAGAAGAAAAAAAATCTCTCTGTGCTCGGGGGCCACTTTGGCTGCGTGTTACCAGGACGGGGAGGCACCGAGGGGCTCCAGATACCTCGATGCAGCTCTGCCCACTGGCACCACAGGTCCCTCCAGCCAGGGAGGAAGCTGCCCTCCAGGGAAAACTGTTATTCTGGGTGATCTGTAAGAGCACTGTGTGTCGGAGGGATGCGCGCTACCAGCTGAGGATGTCCTTTGGGGTCCCCATGGCTGTGGAGAGGGGCAGGGGGTGCCAGGAGCTTGCAGGAGCATGGGGAGGGGCACGGGGCCTGGTGGAGCAGCTGTGGTTAGGTGAGATGTCTCATGTCCCTGCGTGGCTTCCAGCAAAGGTTTCTCACTAGCTGCTTGCTTCTGGTGAGGGAGGGCTGATAAACCCCATCGAGACAGGAATGGGCGCTCTGCAGCTCAGCGCTAGAGGTGTGTTTGTGCTGGAGCTGCAGGGGAAATGCTGTCCCTAGCCCTGATCCTCTCCTTTGCCTCCCAGGACTAGCAGATGGGGTTAATTAACATCACCGTCATCATCATCTGCTGCTGCTGCTGAGACCCCGGCGTGCTTGGAGCCAGCACCCAGGTAGGCAGCTGGTGCTGCAGCTTCTTTTGCCTCTTGTTCTTGCACAGCACAAAGTTGTGGCTTTTGGAGTAAGAAAAGCTGGAGAAAAGCCTGGAAGGTCCCAGGGGTTTGGGCCTGAGGGTGCTGAGCTGCTGGAAAGCTTTTTGCTTGTAGCCGTGTGTGCAGCCTGGGTGAGGAGGAGACTGCTGGTGGTGAGCTGAGGGAATCCACATAACGAATTGTGTTTCTGTCTTTCTTGGCGTTTAGGGCAAGAGGTGTCCGAGCCTGTTCCTGAAGGTGCTGAGCAAGCTGCGTCTGGCTCCTGAGCAGCAGCGAGGGCTTTGGACTGCCTTCCCCACCTTGTTTCTGGCCGTCGCGGTGCGTCCCTCTTGCTCTGGTCCCCTTGCCGTGTCACCTGCAGCGGTGACAGGCAGCACCAGCCTCACGCCACGCTGCCCTTCACCTCCACACGAGGCTGCTTCGGGGCTGGGGCAGCGCAGGGAGCTTTGGGGCAGGAGCCAAGGTGCAGCATATGGCTGAGCGACCTGCCAAGCGCACGGGAGCAGGATGCGCCCCAGATAAGGGTCCCCTGCTGTGCCGGTGGCTCGCTCCAAGCACTGTCCCCTTGCTGGTGTCCCTCCTTTACAGGCTGCTTGTCTGATTTTCCTCTGGCATTAGAGGAGCACCAGAGACACGGGAGAGATGGGGCTCGTGTGGTGCTTGTGATGAAGCAGGAGCATCGTTGTACGAGGCTTTTTTTTTTCTTCTGTGTTTGTTTCTTCTGCAGTTACCTTCCTCCTTTCTTTTCTAAAGTAGACCATGATTTAAGGCACTGCAAGGCCTGGGAGAGGGGCTGCATCCCAAACCACTCAAAAGTGTTTTTTTGGGCTAATAAACTCAGTGATGTCCGGTATCAAAGCTTTAACATTTTCACGTTCTACCCCAAAGCAGCAAAAGGGCAAATTTTGGTATTCAACCTGCGCATGATACTGCTGGTGAGAGCAACTCAATTCTCCAGGCAAATCCTTTCTGAAAGCTTAAAGCAACAAGAAATCACCCAACGGAGGCCAACTTTGATGTGCAGCTCCCACTGCTTCCCCTCTGTCCTGTTCTGGGTGTCACTGGGCTTACCACAGCCTCCCAAATTCGCTGTATGTCTCAAGGCTGCTCATGCCCGAGACATGCAGGAGGGCTGGATGGCAGGTGGGGGGAGGCTGGGGGCAAAAAGCCTCTTACTGAAGATGAGAGGCAAATTATAATGTTTTTCTTTCTGAAATAGGGTCGCAACATTTTTATTTATTTATATATTTTTAAAGCAGCCAAATGTTGAGGCAAGAGGAGGCGAAGCAGGTTTTCAAGGAGGGGTAGGAATTGCTCAAGGTGGGGGTAGAAGTTGCTTTCCTGGCCTGAAAATCAGGGAGCAGGGCTTTAGGAGCAGCACAGGCACTGTCCGTGCCCCTCTGGAGCCTGGCCTGCCCCCTGGCTGGCTCTTGCCTATTCTAGAAGTAGGAAGAAGGGGAAATTATAGGGTCTGGGGAAGGTTAAGTGCTAGCTAAGGAGGCAAACAGATGTGGCTGAGGACAGGGAGCCTCACCTGCAGCGTGCCTCATCTGTGCCCCCCAGGGCAGTCTTTTGGGGCTGTGGTGGGACACGGGCAGCGTAAGCAAGGAGGGTCAAATGAGGCAACATCATTTAGTCTGACGTATGGAGATTTAAAAACAACAAGAAAGAGGATGGGCTGTTTCAGCCCGAAGCCTCCCGTGGCAGGCAGCCTGGGTGTAATTCCTTCACATCCCTCAAGTGATGGAAAAAGGGGGAGGGGGGCTGTGGTCCCAGTTGCAAAACTTGCCAAGGAGCTGAGCCCCGAGCAGGGGCGCTTCCAGCAGCAGCAATTCCGTGCTGTGCTGAGGAGCAGCTCCTCTCCTCCTCTTTTAGAAAAGGCACCAGGAACGGCTCAGAAACATGAAATCCTTACAGGGAAGGGCACGGCGCATCACACAGCAAGGTTTTCTACCAAAGGTCACCCCTTCCACCTGGGTTCTGCATGTTAGGATGTTTAACACGGGCACATTTAGGTGATGCCACCCACCCCAGGGCCTCGCTGTCCCATCTGTGCGCTAGCCAAGGGGCTACCTGGCAGTGTCACCGCTGCGTGCCCTTGGCCACCAGCATCTCCTGCTGCTCATTTGGGTGGGATGGAGCCCGTGAGCATGCACCGCGACCTGAGCAGGGCAAGGTGGCTGAGAACAACAGGAGAGGTGGAAATCGGTGGCAACAGCGCCCAGCATCTCGCTGCCGGCCTCTCTCAGCGGGGCAGACCCCGTGCACAGAGATGATTCTGCCTGGGGATGCTTTGCCTGTGAGCATGTCCCAGCCCCTTCCCATAGGGGGGGAGGGTTTGGGCTGGGGAGGGGGGTGGTCGTGATCCCCATGGGGGGGGTGCCCACCGCTCCAGGGGGATCCCTGGAGCACGGGGAAAAAATCACGCGGGGGGGAAGGTGGAGGTGAGGGGGGAGGAAGCGTTGTGTCCCCAGGCCTGGGGACATGCGTTGGGGGGGGCACAGAGGGACGGGGACACCGGCAGAGGGGGGAGCGCAGGGGGTGATGTAACGCGGCGCTCCGCCGCTTGGTTCATTGAATCGCTTTTTTTTTTTTTTTAAATATATTTTTTTTAAAGGGGGGGGGGGGGGGTGGGGGTCTCCGGGTGGGGTTGGGGGTGTCGGGGAGGGGCTGGGGGGCAGCAGGGCTCACCTGTCCGTACACCTGGATGGGCTCCGGCGGGCGCTGCTGCGCTGCGCGGCGGCTCCGCGGGGCTTCGGCGGCGGCGGGCGGCGGGGCGCGGAGCAGCGCCGCGGGTCCCCCCCGGTTCCCCCGGTTCCCTCGGCTTCCCGGCGTCGTGAAGAGCAACAGCAGAGGCAGGAGGAGCCCCCAGGCCCGGCGAGCCCCGGCTTTGCTCGCCGTCGCCATCTTCGAGCCGCCGGGGCCGTGCGGAGCCGTGCGGAGCCGGGAGGAGCGGAGCGCCGCGCCGCCGCCCGGAGAGAATGTGCAACGGGCAGCCCCGGCTCCGCATCCCCGCCCCCGGAGCGCTGCCCCCCTCGGGGATGCTCGGGGCTCCGGGGGTCGGCCCAGGGGGTTTCAGGCCGGGGATGCTCGAAAAAGAGCGGTGAAAATGGATTTAGATAGCTAGGTGGTAAGGGGTGCGCGGAGAGGGGGGAGAGAGGTGGGGAATAATAAGGGGGTAGAAAGAGGTGAGGGTAAATCAGTAAAAGGGTGGAAAGTGGTGAGGAGAACTGGGTAGAAAGCAGCAAGAGAAAAGGAACGGTCAGAAAGTAGAGAGAAAAAATAAGAGGGCAGAAAGAGGTGAGAAAAAGTAAGGGGGCAGAAAGTAGTGAGAAAAAATAAGGGGTCAAAAAGTGGGGAGAAAAAATAAGAGGGCAGAAAGCAGAGAGAGAAAATAAGGGGTCAGGAAGCAGTGAGAAAAAATAATGGGTTAAAAAACAGAGAAAAAATAATGGGTCAAAAAAAAAAAAAAAACAAACAGAAAAAATGAGAGGTCAGAAAGCTGCAAGAATAAATAAGCAGTCAGAAAGAGGTGGTAAAAATTAAGTGGTCAGAAAGCGGTGAGAAAAAAGTGGTCAGTAAGCAGCAAGAGATTATAAGCAGTCAGAAATGCACACTGAAAAATAATAATAAGAACTCCATAAGAATAAGCAATCAAGAGCCCAGCAATCAAAACGCACAGTCAAAACCCCAGTCAAAAACATACAATCACAACCACAACCAAGAACCAGCAATAAATAAATAAACACATATATGTGTAAAGAAAGGGCTGCAGTGTTTTCTCTCTGGGGGTGCATGAGGTTTCCCTACCACCCCAAAAAAAACGAGGTGCACATTTCCTCTGCCCACCCCTAGCAGGATGTGGTCCCGGGGCTGTGGGCAGTGCCGCTTGCATCTGGGCTGTGGTTTACTGGGAGCTGGGCCCAGGCTGTCACTGGTGCCACCTGTAGGGAGGGTTAACAGAAGATTTATGAAGGCCGTGCAGTGTGTGTGTGTGTTGTGGAGGTTACCTCGTTTGCCAAACGAAGAGCTTTGTGTCTAACCTATCTCCAGCCCCATCCTTGTGCTGGGGGTTTTTTGGGGTAAGCAGTTTTGTAGGGAACCCGTTGGCCCTGGCACGAGGAGAAGGGGCCAGCAGGGCGCACGGTGGCATAGGTGCAGGTCCTGGGTGCAGAGGGGGAGCCACAGCCCTGGGTCCCCTCCTCATCCCCAGCCCCTCAGCACCCCAGCAGGAGGTTTCCAGCTGCTGGAGCAGCTCCTTCTATGCATGGCCAAGCCAGCTGGCCGTGCGCTCCCCCATAAAATACTCGGCACAGGTGATGTGCCTGCATGGCCCTCGTAGCTCATCCCTGTGGCAGAGATGATGTACAGCTACACGGGGATGGTGCAGAGCTGCTGCCCGTGGCAGCAACCCAGATTTATTGGTGCAGGAGAAGGATTTGGCTCTTGGGAGAGGGGATTTCACTCGAGGTGCCCGCAAGCTGCAAGGAGAAATTCTGGAGCATCCTTTCCAGAGAGCATCCCACTTGTCCTTGCCAAGGGCTCGTGTGGCCGTATTGATGGGCAATGTTGTGCTGGATGGGTTTTTAGGTGCAGGGCACCTAAACCCCATTCCTAACGCCATGAGAAAACCCTCAAAGCCCGTGGCTGTGGACTGGCCGTGCGGGGAGGAACGCTCATCAGTCCCTCGACCAGCCCCCAGGCAATCTGGGACCCCCACATCTCGCTGGCTTTAATAGCAGCAGTGCTGCCCGGAGCTTTCCCTGAGGAACCTTTCACCTAGAAACCTAGTTAACGTGTTTCAATTACGGAGTCGATACAATTAGAAGCCCTCCTAATAAAGCTTTTAGCTATCTTGACTCCGTGTAATGTGCCTCCGGAGGATCACAGGTCACTGGGGTAAGGGCAGAGACTGCGGGAGATTCTGGTTCTGAACAAACCCATAAAATGGGTTTCTGGCTGGAGAGGACGTGGTGGCCAGGGGAGAAAAATCCCAAAAAGCTGTGGGATCCCATCCCGAAACAGCTGCCCTGAACTCCCAGACAAAGAAGCAGCTGAACATGATAAAATAATAAATAAATAATAATTAATAAATAAACAGGAACAGGTAGGAAATGAGGAACTGGCTTGGTCACAGTTTCCAAAGCAAGGAATCGGGTGTGCATTGGGCTCCCCCTCGTCCTCCCGGCCCCAGTGTCGTGTAGGACCCCTCGAGGGGGCTGAGCGCTGGTAACTGGGAACAGATGAATGGCTCTTTCTTTGCAGCAGGGAATATAGGGTTCTCCTCTGCCAAGGTAAGGTTTTGAAATAATAACAATCATAATGATCCGTCCCCTGCTGTCGAGGGGAGGGGGAGCAGCAGAGCTGATTTTAAGGGACATCTGGAGTTCATCAGCAGCAGGGGCTGGGATCTCCGAGTGGAGGTAAGGAGCCCCTGCCTCCTGCTTCCTCCCCGTTATTTAAGGGATGCCTTGCGTGTTGCTGGACTCGAGAGCAGACCCCAAGCGAGCTGTCCTGCCTCACAGAGCGATCCCATCCCTAAACACTGGCCAGAACCCCAAGGAGCCGTGCTGTAAAGCTTGGGCTGAGCCTGGTGCTGTGGGGACTGTGAAAAGTGCCCATCCTTTGGGAAATCCTGCAAGGTACAGACCCGAGCAGTCAGTTCTGTGTCTATTTCCTAGGCCACCTAGCTTTTAGCTGAACAATTTGCTGTTGTGCCGGGGAGCCAGACTTCTCAATGGGGCACCGACGGAGCCCTGCGGGTCGCTAATCCTTTCCACTCCCCTCGCTGCGCTCTCACGCCAAGAATCCCTGGCTGGAAACCCAGAGGAAAAAATCATTTCCTACAGCCTTCAGGCCTGGCTGTGGGGAGAGCTCCAGCTCAGGGCTGTGTTACCCTGCAGGCTAATGGGTTGTAGTGGCTTTGCATGCTGCCCCAGGGCTCTCCCCAAAGGGGCTGGGAGCTGGGCAGGGGGACGAGGGGACGTGGTGCCTGTTGTGGGGCTGTTTTGCAGGGAATAGGTATGGCAGTAACCCTCGTGGTGACCGTAACAGCATCGTGGCAGTGCTTTGAGCTCTCCCCGTGGTTTTGCAGGTGGCACCAATCACAGGCTCAGCTGGAGGAAAATGTGGGTGCTCTATGCCATAGTCCCCTCTTTTATTTTATTTTTTATTTTATTTTATTTTATTTTATTTTATTTTATTTTATTTTATTTTATTTTATTTTATTTTATTTTATTTTATTTTTTGTTTTTTTTTTTTTTTACTTTATTTTATTATTTATTTATATTTATTATTTTATTTATATTTATTTATTATTTTTATTATATTATTTACTGGCTAGGAGATCTCAGCCCCAAGAAGCAGCCCAGGAGGCATTACTCAGCCCATGGAGTGGCAGCAGGTGGGAAAATCTGAGGTCCTTTAACCAGCTGGGACTCGGTGTCTGGGGCCAAGGCTGCTGGGTGTGAGCCCCGAGGGATGCAAGGGGGGGTTAGTATGGCTCAGGCCACCGATTTATCATCAGCAGCTTGCTTTGCAAGAACACCCACCCACGCCTGGTGGGGCCAGAGGGTGGCAAATCCCCAGGGGTGCCACGTGCTAGGGCAGGGAGACGGGTGCCAGGCTTTTCCTGAGGGAGGAGGCCCCCCCCCCCCCAGCTTTCGTGCCCAGCCCCGTGCTGTTGTCCCTGTGTTCAATCCAGGCTTTGCCTTGACCCTTGGTGCTTGTCTGGCCTCCAAGTTGTGCAGGGGCAGAGTTCGTGTGCACGTGGGGGGATTGAGAAAGCGCGGGGAGGGGAGCGCAGGGAGATGGGAGCGTGCTGTGGGGGCAGGGAAACACGTTGTTTGGGGAGCAGAGGGTCTGTGGTGCCCATCAGCGGGGTATTTGGTCCCAGAACGGGTGCAGGTGTCTGTCCATGTCCCTGCACACCAGAGCACCCCAAGAAGCCAAGTGCCATACGGTCACCCTGCGTGGCACCGACCCAGGCAGGTGCTCCCCGAAGGCACTGAGCCCTCTGATGGGGGAATGAGTAAAAAGGGTGACAGGCACCATGCTTGGGGCTGGCTCTAGGTCCTGGGAGCAGGCAAAAGCAGCTATGGGATGGGGTTGGGGTTATGACTGCAGCAGGGAGGCGATGGGGAGATCCGTGCACCCGCACAGGGCACGAGGCTGGTGCAGCTCCTGCTGCTCTTCGGGGTGCATCTGCTGGGACCACGGCCCCCCTGTGCCTTATGCAGGGGGCGATCGGTGTGGGGCACGGAGCGAGGTGCTACCGGGGAGAAATGGAATTGGGAACAGAGGCTGGAGATGTCACCAAAGTTGGCAAGTGGGATTTATTGACGGCCACCCTGACCCCAAGGCCAGGCGGCCGGGTTTCCAAGTAAGCCCGTCAGCTGTTAGGGGGGGACCTGCCACGAACCAGGGCTCCCTCCCACCGCCTGCTCCCCAGCCCCAGCCCTTCCTCCCGCGGTCCCTCGGGGAGCTCGAGGGGCCCACGGGGCTCAAAGTCTGTCCCTGCCCTACACGCCGGCCCTTTTGTAACGTGTCCCCGTGTCACAAAGCCACGGGGAAGCTGCGCCCCGTGCCGAGACATCCCCTCGCACCCGGAGCCTGCGGTGCCATCGAGTGGATCCACGGCAGCTGCAACAAGGTAGGGGTGGCTTTTTTTTTATGAAATAGAGGCACGTGGGTGAAACATCGGTGTCTGCGATGGGAGAACCAAGTGCCTGGTGTTATCAGCCTCTTGTCTCAATGCGATTTGATGCTGCAGCCTCCACGGCAGCTCATGAAATGGGATGGCCAGAGACCCCCCCCACAACGTTACCACCGTGCTCGTGGTGCTGTGGTGCTGTTACAACACCCACTGCAGGGACTCAGGTAGCTGAAGGTGGCGAAGGGGATGGTTTTAAGGGAGCTTTGCAGCACGGAGAGAGGCTGGGGAGCGCCGTCATGGGAGCAGGGCGGGCACCAGGCTTCCCAAAACCTGATGTTTGGGGGCACGGGGAGCAGGGAGGGCACATTTTGGCGCAGGGCAAGGACGTGGCAGGTGGTATCTGAAGGAGCCTGGATAGCAGCAGCAGCACGATAGCAGCAAGGTGTCTGTGTGCCAGGAGGAGGGGATGGGGAGGCCGACCCGTTTGCAGCGTTCGGGGGGAGCCATCTGCAGGCCTGGTGCCCGTCAGTGCTGAAAAATCAACCCACGTCAGGCGCTCTGGCGCAAGGTGAGGGCTCTGTACGGGGAAATTTAGTCCGATGGGGGTCGGGAGCAGCAGGACGAGGCCTGGCCCCTTTCCGTGGCGGCCGGCCTAGGCCAAAATCTAGTCGGTTTTGTCAACGGCGCCGTTGGGCTGCTCGGGGCCCTTCTCTCGCAGCCTGCGCAGGTAGTCGTGGGGGCCCTTGCCCTCGAACGAGGTGGGACTTTTGTAGGAGCCGCCGATCTTGTCCCAGAGGGTGAAGTACTGCCCGTAGTTGTAGTCGAAGTAGAGGTGGTGGTCGGTGTGGTGGGCCGAGCCGTTGATGACGTGCCGCAGCAGGCGGGGGACGCGGTAGTCGCCGTCGTGGATGGAGATGGTCCAGACGTTGACGAAGATGTAGAGGCCCAGGTAGGTGATCTTGTGCAGGGGGAAGAGGAAGGGGTAGACGTGGTAGGGCAAGCTCTGCATGAAGCCGTCCACGGGGTGGAAAGCGTGGCTGGCGAAGGGCGTCGCGATCTTCCACAGGTGGTGGGGCTTGTGGAAACGCTGCGGGGACAAAAAGCGTGGGGGGCCCCTTGTGGGGTGCTCCCTGAGACAGTCACGGGCCAGAATCCTTGGGGCTGGCTTTTGGGCCACCCGTCCCCATTTCCCTGGTGGCACAACTCAGCCCCGGCCCGGATGCCAGCCCGTTATAAGGAGGTCCCTACCTTATAGAACAGCTTGTGGTGGAGGCCTCGGTGTATCCAGTAGATGCCCATGTCGGTGAAGAAGAGGAAGGACAGCATGCTGAGGAAGACTCCTGACCAGCCTGGGGGGAAGGACACGTCAGTGGCAGCCCCCACGTGTGCACAGGGTCAGGGTCTGCCTCATGGAGCAGATGCAGGGCAAAGCTCACCAGTCTCTCCTTACCAGGGGAAACTGGGTTTACTGGGAGCTGAGAGAGCTGACAGGAGCGCTACCAAATGAGGGCAGGGCATGTGTGAAAGCGGCCGTCCCGTCCCCTTAGGCACCAGGGGTTTGGCCATCACCCTGCACGGGCTGGCAGGGTGCGGGGGCTCAGGCACACGGTGTCTACAGGTCCCGGGGTGAGGAATGGGGAAGCAGAGGCGTTTATGGAGGGAGCGATGGAGAGCACGGGAGCAGCTCACCGTAGGGGGAGTCCTCGATGTTGTCGTAGAGCTTGCTGTAGCCCCGCACCTCGGCGAAGAAGAGGGCGACGGTGGGGACGCTGATCCAGGGCAGGGAGCGCAGCGCGTAGGCGATCTCCCGACGCACCTGGTTCTGCGGGGTGGCAGTGCCAGGGATGGGTCAGGGCATGGGAGGAAGACGGGGAGCTTCGTGCCACCCTTCCTGCCCCATCGAGGCCACGGCCGGGCGGGGAGGGATGGTATTTAGGGTGGCATCTGGCATGGCTTGATATTTATCAGCGCCCTGCTAAGGGTATGGTGAGCAGGGTGCTGGTGCCCAGATTGGGGCCAGGAAGGGGGTTTGGACATGGGGGAGCCAGAGAACAGAGGCAGGGACAGCATCACGGGTCTGGGGGCTGTTGGACAGGCCAGACTGCGTGCAGAGCCATCGCCACGTCCTTTGGGTGCTGGGCATCAAGGAGCACATGTCACATCACCATGCGGCCACTCTGCCCTGTTTGGCCACTCGGACACTGGAACGAGCTGCCCAGCGAGGCGCTTGGGGTCCTGTGCCCATCGGTGTCCGAGAGGCATTTGGATAAAGCCCTTAATAAAATGCTGGAACTTTTGGTTAGCCTTGATGCAGTCGGGCAGTTGGGATGGGACCATCATTGTAGGTCCCTTCCAGCCGTCCTATCCCTGTCCCTATCCCTATCCCTATCCCTATCCCTATCCCTATCCCTATCCCTATCCCTATCCCTATCCCTATCCCTATCCCTATCCCATTCTGTTCTGTACTGGGTGGGCACGAGGGGCACCGTCTGCAGGACACCAGGGTCCCGCAGGGGACCCTGGAGGGGGCCGGCTGGGTTTTGGGAAGCCGGGAACCCACCTCTAGGAACATGGGGTGCTTCTGGAGCTCGTGGTCAAAGATGAAGTAGTAGCTGAGGGTGCCGAAGAGCAGGTAGAGGGTGAGCGCCCCGAGGTTGGTGATGACGAAGAGGCTGAGGAGCTGCCGGCAGGGCTCCTCCTCGGGCCAGCCGGCGGGGTACACGTAGGGGGTCAGGAGGTGGCGGTCGGCGGCCTCCAGCACCAGGTCCATGGTCGCTGCTGGGGGACGGGGATGGGGACATGCAGGGGGGCAGCGGCAGGGCGGGAGCTGCACCCTCAGGGGTCCCCCCAGATCCCCATGAATCCCCCCAGGGCCCCCCAGGTTAACCACAGGGCCAGATTCCTCCAGCTCCCCAGAGATGCCCCCTGGATCCCCATGGGTCCCCTCGGATCCTACCCGGGGTCCCCAGGGGTCTCCCCCATGGATCCCCCCAGATCCCCATGGGTCCCCCACAGCTCCCCCCTACAGATTACCCCGGACCCCCCCCCACATCCCCCACGGCCTGAATCCCCACGGTTCCACCCCGCTTCCCCCTGGCTCCCCATAAATCCCTCCAATTCCCCCATGACCCCCCTGATTCCCCCATGGACCCCCATGTAGCCCCCCGGACCCCCCCAAATCCCCCTGAATCCCCCCGGATCCCCCCAAAATCCCCCTGGACACCCCCGATTCCCCCTCCCCCGGCTCCTCCCGGTTTCCCCCCGGTCCCCCCGGCCCCGATCGCGTTGACCCTTTAGTGCCGAGCCCCCCCGTGCCCCCCATGCCCCCCGTATCCCCCCATATCCCCCCCGTGCCCCCCGCTACCTGCCGGCAGCCCCGAGCGCGGCGCGGGGCGGGGCGGGGCAGCGCCGCCCGGTAGCGCCACGTGACGTCACTCGCGCCACCACCGCCGGTGACGTCACGAGGGGGCGTGGCGCGGGAAAACGGCCCCGCCTGGCGGGCGCGGGAAAAACAGGGCGGGGGTGGCCGCGGGTCCCCGTGTCCCCATGTGTGTCCCCCGTGGGGTTTTTACCCCGTTTCGATTCGGGCTCGAATCAGCTGATTTTCTATAAACCCTTTTTTTTTTTTTTTTTTTTTTTTTTTTTTTATGTAAATCCGCGCTGTTTTGGTGCATCCCGCCTGGTGCTCAGCGGTTTTATGACCCACGGGAGCCCGGGCATGCCCAGGGGAAGGGTCTGCCCCCGAGCTGGGGGCGTTTGCACCCCAGGAGGGTTTGTTTCAGGACTATGCCAGCCCCCCCAGGTGGGTTTTTTAGCATTATAACTGCCCACCCGCCTTCCCTCTGTCCCGCTTTGCACACCAGCACTGCTAGGGCTGTGCTCTTATCCCCAGCTCACGGACAGAGACCGACCCTAATACCAGCCCCGTGGTCCCAGCGTGGGACGTGTGGGCCTTTGGGAATCGCTGCACCCACCGCAGGCGGGCTTTCTTTTCCAGCTTTCTGGCTCTGTCCTTCTCTCTGCCTCTTCATTCTCGCTTTCTGCCTCTTTCCTGAGGTCTGCTTCCCTTTGTGTCTGCCCATCTGTCTCGTTATTTCTGCTTCTCCCTCTCCTGCTGTGCTGCTTTCTCCCTCCCCGTCTTTTTTGGGTGCCCTTCCACTGCTCTCTCGTGCCTGTTCGCCTCTGTCTCCTGCTCCCTCGTTGCTTTTCTCCCTGGCTTTCTTCCTCTCCCTGTGTGTTTGCCTGCCTGGGTGGTATGACCACACTGCCCACCTCTCCCCAAAAGGCCCAGTCCTCCCCCCATGGGGTCCCCAGACCCCTCGTGGCCTCGTCCCCACTCAGCTATGCCACATAGGACCACACCGCTTACGAAGGAGTACAACACTTTTTATTCTCACGCAGCCGTGTCACAAAACACAAACACAAGACAAGTCCCCCACAGAAACAGCCCCCACCCTGCGCCAGCCGGCCCCCCGAGCCCACCACCTGCCTGGTGCCGTCCTGGGTGGGCAGCCCCCGACCTTGCTGCCTCCCCTCAAAAGACACCGTGACGGCTCTGACCACGACGAGAGGACTTGGCTCCAGCCCTCTTTTCTCAGGCTCACCCCCGTGGCCTCTCCCCACGCATCAGGACAGGCCACCACGTACATCTGGGTTCCCCAAAACCCCAGGAACACACTTGGCTCTCCACCATGCACCCTGATGGCTCCCCTCTCGGGAGAGCCACCAGGTGCCGTGCTCCTGAGGTGTGCTGATGTCCTCTGATCCAAACGTGCTCCTCTGGTCCATCACCTGCACCAAAACACCTACCTCTGGCTGGATCCGAGTGCTTCACCGATGCGTCCTGCTCCCTGGGGAGCCCCTCTGAGGGCAAGGACACATGCAAGTGCATGCGTCTGAGCCCATCCTGCTCCACTAACAGGGGTGCTGGGGATGGGGTGCTACAAAAGAGAGCCTGGGAAAAGCTGCAAAGGAAAAACCAAGTCCCACATCCATCCTGACACGCATCCAGCTCTGCCATCACGGTGCCTCCGATGCCCATCCAGGTGCTCATCCGTCCACTCTCCAGGTCGAGTCCCTCTCCTGCCAGGCCGGTGGCAGGCTCGCTGCTGGGGGTGCTGGCTCCTACCCTACAGAGACTCAGGCTGACGCGAGAACAGTACTTGGCCGGGCAGCAGAGCCGCACCTACGAGGTCGGGTCCCGCGGAGCCACGCACAGCCACAGCCACAGCTGTGCCACCACCACAAGGCTCGCTCGGGCTCGGACATCCCCCGAAGAGCTGGAGGCTGTCAAAGCAAGAAGGACCCCGTGAGCTTGGAGCCTTGCACGGACACAGCACACATCCCCTTAGATGATTGTGCCAAACTGACCCTTTGGATGCTCCACCTCTTAGCCAAGAGGCCACCGCCAGCACACGTCACCACTGACCTTGATGCTCTAGCCACAGCCCGAGCCTCATCCCTGTCCCGCTATGAAATGCCACCTTCCCCAGGCTGCTGCTCTGTCTCAGAGCAGACCCCCCCACCCATCTCACCCCAGACCCTCAGGACTTGCCCCTGCAGCTCTTGCCGTCCCCTTGCAGTGTCCCCGTCACGCAGCTGCACAGCGGCCCGTCCGCTTGGCTCGTGCAGATCTGCTCGCAGCCGCCGTTGTCCTCGCACCAGTCTGATCCTGGGGGCAAAAACACGTGGAATCGGGTGGGGACAATGCTGCTGGACCCCAAGCAGCCCCCGCTTTGGCCACTCGGACCCCCATTCCCTCCTGCAGCGAGAAGTCCTACCGGGGTTTTCGCTCTCCCCTGGGGCACTGCCATCACCTCGTGCCACAGAGGTCCCGGTGGGAGGCGGACACCCCCACGCCGTGCCCTTCCCCTGGCCACATGCACTTACGCTTCCTCCGAATGGGTCCCACCGAGAGGATCTGCTCGTGGGCCTCCTGGGCGAAGGCGCTGGCTGACCGCCGGTGCTGGGGGCAGTTCTGGGCAGGGACAGGGGGTACGTCCATCACTCTCAGCCCCTTTCCGAGCCCCCTCTGACCAACCCAGGTCCCAAAAAGACACCCAATGCAGCCAAAGCTCAGGTTATGGACAACCTGCCCATGGCAGAGCTCTCCTCCCCGCACCCAGAGGTCCTCCCAGCTTTCTCCTCGATCTCTGGTCACCTCTTGAACAACACATAAGCCATGCCCATGGTGTCCTTCTAGAGCTGTAGAAAAGTCCCGACCCGCCTCTCCAAGCCAGCCCACAGTGCGTGCCCCACTTACTATCTTGCAGGAGTATTTCTCTGAGTCGCAGAGCGAGACGGCGCAGTGCAGGTGGACTTCGTCGTAGTCCCCAATGAACTTGAAGACGGTGACATGGAAGCGACAGGTCAGGGACACCCCATTCTCCTCTATGCCGATGGTGTTGTCCTTCATGTTTTGGCACCTGTGCAAGGTACAGACGCTTGCCATGGTGCTCCTGCTATCGGGACTCTCTCTGGAGGGACTTTACTCTCCCCTCACCCCCTAAGACCTCTTGCCCAGGTGCTGTAGCAGTGCTCTTTGGTCCCATTGTACCCATGGGCGCATCATGGGACCCACTTGTCAGCATAACTCATCCCTACAATATGTATGGGTTTTGGCTGATAGAGAGTTAACCATCATCATAGTATCTCCTCTGGCACGATGCTTTCCATTTATAACCAAGCCTGGGCTGATATTTTGGCCCTGGCTGGACAGGACAGTGACCCCAACTGGCCAAAGGGCTATCCCGTCCCATGTGGCACCGTGCTGAGCAATAAATGCTGGGGGAGAGATGGACAAGGAGGGGAGGACGTTCTCCTTGCAGCATTTGTTTTCCCAAATAGCCATTGCACACGATGGAGCCCGGCTTTCCTGGAAATGACTGAAAGTCTGCCCGCTGCAGGGATGTTGTGAACGAACTGCTGATTTTGTTCTGATTCAGCACAGCTTGGGCTTTACCTTTTACGCTGCCTTTATCACAACCTACACGTTTTCTCTTACCCTTCCAGTTCCCTTACCCTCCCTCGATGATGAAGTAGCGCAGCTTGTCGTTGCTGTCCCGCGAGGGGGTCGCGTAGCACTTGTTCAGCATCAGGATCAGGTGGTTGGAGTCGGCCCCGACCACGAAGACCCCCACGTAGAGCACATCCCGCGTGGTCAGCACGACTTCCCCCTGCCGGTACGGGTGCTTGTAGGAGGAGTTCTTGTACAGGGCCATCTTGGTCGTGAAGCTCCCTTCCTGCGTCGGCACGGTCAGGTTAATCACGCTAACGACAAGAAACCAGAAGAGGCTTGGACCTACCGAAAGGATTACTCACACCTCATCACCTTGCTGCACGTGCACACCCAGGAGGGGTGGCATCACTCCCCCTGCTCTGACCTTAGCATCGGCCGCACGACCGAGTCCAGGGAGATCTTGATGTCCAGCTCGTAGGCACAGGAGAACTCCACGTTGATGGTCCGGTCCCGGGTGATGATGTTGCCTGTGTTGTTGGCGCTTTCGATCCACACCGTGTTCTTGTACACGATGTGCGTGCTGTTAGACTGTGGGAGGGAGCAAACGGCACCCCTCGAGACTGATCGTCTCTGACCTCCTGCTCCTGATGGGTGCCTCAGCATCGCGGTGTGACCACGGGGGCTCTCCATCTCTACAAAATACCACCTCTGGCCCCAAAGGTTTGTGTACCGCTGCAGTACCTTCCCCTAGGGAGCATCCATACCCAGCAATTCCACTGTCACCGGCTCAGACCACCCCTTCCTCCCTGACCCCAAAGACCTCAGGGACCTCACAGGTTCCTGAGCCTCCCAACAACTCCTCTTCCTCCTCCTAATCCTCCAGGCTAGGACACAAATCAGCTGGACAATGAGATCTCAGACCCAAAATTCTGAGAGAAGTCACCCTGGCTCCTTGCCCCATCCCACCTGCACCAGGTTGCCGCAGTTGCCCTTGGTGTTGTTGATCTGGAAGGAGATGAAGTCCTCGCCCTCGATGCCGGGGCAGTGGCGGTCGTTGACTCGCACGCCCTCACGCTCGAAGCCCAGCTGGAAGAGTTTGCACTTGGAGATGGACACCTCCATCTGGGCGGCTTTGCAGGTCACCTCCGCGTCGATGATGTCGTGGGTGTCTAGGGCAGAAGAAGGGTTATGGGACCACCAGAAAGGACACGGCACACCCAGACCCTACCCCGGCCATCCCTTCTCCCCCTGCTGGTGCAGATGTGCTCACTGTTCCCGTAGGGTGGGGGCTCGACGCAGCCGCACAGCTCCCCGCCGTCATCCAGCTCGCAGCTCCGGTTGGGGCAATCGGCGCCCGCGCAGGGGTCTTCCACCACTCCTGCTAAACAGCACGAGAAGCGCCGCGAGCGGGACCTTTATCCTCAGGCCACGGGATGGGCGCCATATGGGATGCCCCTGTGGGATCCCAGAGGACCCCGTCTCTCTTACAGCAATTCTCCTTCTCGATCCACTCGGTGCCCAGGATGCCGAAGGTGCGGCACGCCTCGCCGTAGGCGGCCAGTGAGCCGCACAGCTGCACCTTCTTGTGGTTGTAGCAGCCGTCCAGAAAGCAGGACTCGTAGAAGGGCAGCGGGTCCAGGAGGCCGTAGCAGGGCTGGAAGAAGCCTTTCATGTCGGTCAGCTTCAGGCAGTAGCTGTCGCTCTGCAGCTTCTGGATGCGGACGTTGTCGCAGGACGCGGCGTACTGGGAGTACTGCAGCTCGTTGCAGCTGCGGGCACCGGACACGTCGTGGGGGAACTCGCGATGTGCTTGGCCCCGCTCCCTCCCGTGCCCGGTGGGGATGCCTCACCTCTTCTGCATGCCGTTGGTCTTCCAGCTCTGCGCCAGCAGCACGCTGCTGACCACGGGTTTGCCCCGCAGCGTGGCGTAGTCATCTGCTGGGTCGCCGTTGAAGTTGCCGCAGAGGCCGCACACCTTGTTCTGCAGCCGCTCGCCGATGGTGATCTTGATGACGTTGAAGCCGTTGTAGCGGATCTGGATGTCGGGGCCGGAGTCGATGACCAGGAAGCCTTCCTGGCTGTAGATCTTGGTGGAAAGCCCCGTGATGAAGGGGATGCTCACGTGGCTGCCGTTCACCTGGTGTGGGAGAGGACATCAGGCTGACGTCCCTCCTGTCCCCTCTGCTGCTGGACAGGAGCGTTGGCCACCCACAGACATCTCTGCAAATGCTTCCCAGTACCCCAAACAGGAAAACATAATGCCTCTGCTTGAGCCGTTGGGCCTTCTCCTTCACCTTGTCCTTCTCCCAACAGATCTCACTCAACCCCTGTTACTCTTAGATGCTTACATAAGGCTGAAGTGCGTAAGCCCTACAAGCGTGCAGAGGCTCGAGCTGGGGCTCCTCTCCCACTGAGACAGCTACATGCAGAGTTCTCCTACCCTAAAAGACCAGGCCTGCGTTCCCCAGCAATTAAATGACAGCTGCACCTCCCCACATGCAGGAGGACGGAAAGACAGGGACAACCTTTGCCTCCTGTCATCCCTCTCCTCCTGGCTGGCATCACTTTTCCAAGCCCTATGGACAGGGGTCACATCCCTTGCAAGGAGCTGCTGGTACCACTGCTACCAGTGACCTGCGTGGCCTTTTGGTCACACATGGGGACTGGTACACGGCCCTTCTTCATCGATGGGCATGGGTGGCTGGCCCCTTCGCTCAGGAGCTGGTCCCCCGTGGCCCAAACCTCATCAAGACCTCACCTTGACGGTGTTCCTATCATTGATGAGGATCTGCTCCTCGTTGATGTAGAAGTACACGGGGGAGATGACGGTGAGGTTGGGCGAGGACCACTTGTCGAAGTTGATGATGAGCTGGAAGGAGAAGTCGGGCAGCTTCTGGCAGATGGTGGAGAGCACGAAGGCGCAGTTGGCGGGGAAGCGGAGGAAGGCGCCGTCGAAGGTGCGGAAGACGCCGCCGCCCGCGGCCAGGCAGAAGGAGCTGCGGGTGCTGAAGCAGCCGCGGACGCCGTTGCGTGAGGCGCACTCCTCGTCCGATTTGCAGTGCCGCGGGTCGCACTGGATCAGGTTCCGTCGGAAGCAGCGGCACCGCCGCGTGCAGTCCCCGTTCCAGAAGAGCTGCTTGGGCTGAAAGACAAACGGGTCACGCCTGGGGAGGGACAGGGACCCCTGCCTGACCCTCCGTGGATGCTCAGCCCGGTTTTATTTTCCTCTGCCACACAGAGCAGGAAATCTGGTGATGATACACTGAATGCTTGTGCACTGCTGCTAAAATCCCTGCTACCTGTAAGCAGGAGAACACTGCACGTTTCCACTGCCACGGTGACCTCATCTGCCTTGTGCCCAGCACTTTAAATACCTCCTTGTTCCTTTCTTGTGCCCTGCCTGCCAAAATCCAGTCCACCAAGCACCCCATAGGACAATAATGGGGTAAAAGCACACAGAGGTGTGCTCGGCTTGGCAAAGACACTCTGTGCAGAGCAGTTTCACCATAACACCAAAAAAAAAAAAAAGAAGGAACACAAAATGTGAGCAATGCCACCAGGACAGAAGGATAAGTGGCATACCAGGGATGACACCCCTCTTCTCTGTCTCCCTGTGCCCCCTGGCACCTCCTGCCCTTTTTTTTCAGCTTGTATTGATTCACACTGAGCTGGAGATGTCAGCACATGCTGCTTGTGTGATCCCTGCTCGTCTCCTCTAAACACCTGCCCCGCACACCACAGTGACCAGGCACATCGCGACACCTCAAGGGATGTCATGCAGGGGCTGGGAGGCAGCACGGCAAGAAGGATGTTCCCAATGTACCTCATAGTATTTTCCATCGGAGTAACAGCCACAGTTCTGGGGCAGGATGCAGCTCTTGCCGTTCAGGACGTAGCCGGGGTCGCACTGGCAGCCCTCCACGCAGTAGTGGCTGCAGTCGCTCTTGAGCCGGATGGCGGCACAGCGCGGCTGGCACAGGGACACGCAGCTCTCGTAGTGGCTGTTGGGGGGACAGCTGACGGCTGTGACGTGCAGGGAGAACACGAGGGATGCAGATTAGCTCCTTGGAGAAAACTGACTTCTCCTACAAGCTCCTTACATCACCGGCTGCCAGCCAGCATCTCACGGGGAGCGCACAAACTACATGCCTTGGCCATGCGCACAGCGCACAAACCCTCTGGCACTGGCTCCTGCTGACCCTGGGGCTGGAGGACAGCGGTGCCCAAAGAGCTCTTGGGGGTCCCCAGCCCGCATATGGAGCTCCCATGCCCTCTGCCTGGGTACACATGCCAGGGGATGTGCTGCTACCAGATGGCCTTTGATCCTTATCCATCAGACCTCAAAGCCTAGGGGCTGCTGTGCACCCAAAGATGCCACCAGTTCACTGGGGTGCTTTTGGGCAGGACACACAGGGTGACAGCTCATGGACCCTGCCCTGAGGGAGCCTCTGGAGCCAGGAGGTTGTTCGTTAGGAGGAAGAACAACATAAATTTAATTTTCAGTCTTGTTAGCGGTGACAATTACTTCCCAGCTGATTTGCCAGATAGAGCGGCTGCCAGGGAGACTCACGGAGCCCATCCTCGGGAGCTTAATTGGACGTTGTGCTGTAATCTTATTGACTACAGCGAGCGGCTTCATTAGAGCAAACATGTACTCCTGGCTGTGAGTCTCACTAATAAAATTCCTGGGGAACAACAGCAGGATGGATGATGCCTCCTGAACCTGAGGCTTCACCTTTCTCTATCCGTGCTCCTGCTGTGCCACACACGGTTCAAAACTACACCCAGAGGACGGAGCACATGGGGACAGATCCAACCCTGGCGAGGACTGGATGGACGCTTGCTGCTTTAGGACTGCAGGGTGGAAACAAGGGAACCCCAGGTGCTGATGCCCCAAGTGCCAGGGGAACAGGCTCTCAGTTCCCATGGCTCTGCTGCATGGGACAGGCGGGTGTCCATGGGGCGAGGATGTGCCCATCCTGCTGTGGCCCCAAGGTGTTCCAGATCACCTCTGACACAATGACAAGTGTGACATTGAGATGCCTGTGCAGACCTAGGGCTCACGATTTATCTCTTCTGTATGCTAGTGATCACACTGAGGACTCAGAGATGGCTAATAAGGTGGGGATGGCAACCCTCCGCTGTGCCCGTATGGGCTGCTTTAAGGGAAAACTGCTCAATTGCTGACCTTCAGCCCCACCAACACAAAAAACAAGCATCAGCACTGCACATGTGGCAGAAAGCTTCCTCCTGAACTCCTCCCTTGATGCTGGCGGGGATGGGGATGGATGGGGATGGAAGCTGGGCATCAGCCTGCCCTTTCCTGGTCCCATGGCACTTAGCAGGGTGGCACTTACAGCACGAGGTGAAGTTCCTCCAGCCGGTGACGGCGATGCCCTGCGTTTGGCACGTGCTGGCATAATTCTGCAGCCAGCCACAGGCCGTTTGCATGGCCCCCCCATCGACACACGTGTCGAAGAGGCAGTTCTTGTAGAAGAAGCTGGGGCTGATCTTGCTGTGGCACTTGGCAAAGACACCGCTTTGGCTGGGGATGAGGCTGCAGAGCTGCTGGGGCTTCCAGAAACCTTCCACCTTCCCGCAAGCAGGGCAGCGGTCACCGCAGCCCACCCGGCAGAAGGTGTCCCGCTTTGCCCAGCTCTGGACGAAGTCGGTGACACCAAACGCTGGCATGCCACCCGCGGCCACCAGGTCATCCTCGGGGTTGCCGTTGTAGCGGCCACAGAGGCCGTAGGTCAGGTTCTGGAAGCTGCGTGGGATGGTGACGGAGAGGAAGGTCTTCCAGTCGTACACCACCTTCAGCCCAAAGTCGGTCTCGACCACGATGTGGAAGCCGAAGGCGAAGATGTTCACTTTGCCCTGGCCCAGCTTCAGGGGCAGGTAGAGCCGCTCGTTGTTGATCTGCGGGGAAGGAAAGGAGGTGGTTGGTGAGCTGGGATGCTCAAACCTTCTGCAGCAGGACACCGAGGTGCTGCTGAAGCAACCAGCCTAGAGCCAGCCTCCAAAACGTGGCAGCCAAAAAGGAAGCCCTCTCCAAAAGCTGTGCCACGTGGTGGTCTAGGGACAAATACTCCAAGATTTGCCCTTTCTGAACCTGGAAAATCTACTGATACACAACGAACAGTGCACAGGGAACCACCTAGGAGGGTGGAAGGAAGAAATAACCCCTCGTAGATGCTGCACCCACCACCACTCCTTGCCCCTCATGGCCCCCGCTCACCATCACGGTGTATTTGTAGGCGCGGTGGATGACGATGTTGTAGTTGAAGACCTCCACTTCCACTTGCTTCACCCACAGGGCCAGGGAGGTGTCCCGGTCCTCATTCTTGGCCGTGACGGTGAACGTGGGGAAAGTGTCCGACCTCTCGGCCCGTGGCCGGGAGATGGTGGTGCACAGGACCAGGGCACAGCTGCTCTGGAAGTCAAAAGAGTAGCCGTCAAATGTCAGGTAGTGCCCGTAGCCGGAGACGATGCAGGAGGCGTCCGTGCGGACATGGCAGTAGTAGAGGCCGTTCTCCTCCAGGCAATACTCGTCGTCCTTGCAGGAGACGTTCTCGCAGTACACGCTGTTGTCCGAGCCGTTGCAGTAGCAGAGGAAGTGGCAGGAGATGTCCATCCAGAAGGTCTGGTTGGTGGCCAGCTGACGGCCCTCGAAGTTGCAGCCGCACTCGCCGCGGGGAACGCAGCGGGAGCCGCGGAGGGCGAAGCCCTCGTCACACTGGCAGCCCTCTGTGCAGGTGTCCGTGCAGACGGGGCCCGTGGCCAGCGTCTCGCAGGTCTCCACGCAGCTCATGCACTCCTCAAAGTGGCTGTTTTCAGGGCATGCGAGGGCTGGGGGTGTTGGACAGAGTGTGTGAGTAGAGAGAAATGTGGACACGGGGTGAGCTGTGACCCATTTGCAATAAAATTAAAAAAAAAAAGCAAGAGGGGAAGCTGTCCCAGCACCCTCCCAAACACCTGGTCTTCCCATCCCCTTTGTGACCCCTTTTCCTCACTGCCATCACCCTCCTCACATTGGAGATGTGCCAAGCAAAACCTCCTCCTGCTAACCCAGAGGACGTGCCGCCTTCCCAAATAGATGCCTCTCTAAAACCTCCAGAGTGGAGGCATCCCACCGACTGTGTGCTGCCATGCTGGGGATTTTTCACATTCGCTGCTGAATTATGAATGTTTTCCCATCAACGGCAAGTTTATAGTGACAGCTAAAAACACGCCTTATTCGAATTATCCTCCGGTGATGGCTTACAGTACTGTCAGCCGCCATCTGCGGCTCTGGAATGCTCCTACACCACGTCGTAAAGCTCCTCGCATCTCCTGAAATGCCACCATGAAATTGCTTAATTGGGAAATCTGTCTCTGCAGGCAAAGGGACTGCTTAGAAACTGCCATCGGTCCACAGGGTGGCAGGTCCTCATCTTTGGGTTCAAAAGACCTTGTGGTTCTAACACACACCGGTCACCTGATTTCAGACTTCTCATGCTGCCCTAAGTGCTGGGGTGCTGTGGAGCTCCTGAAAACCAGCCAGGTCCAAGCCTCTCTTCCACCAGTTGGTCTGCTGTTGAGGGTTTTCCATCTACTCTATGGGGGAACACCACCGAGGGGTATGCACAAGGTGCACAACAGGGGGAAGAGAGGCTGTAATTTCTGGTGGCCCAATAAAAAAAAATAAAAAAATGCAGTCTACTTCTTTACACCCACAAACTCCTGAGAAACAGACCTTCCCAAGGTGTTGAGGATACTTAAAAATGCCCCAGATAATTAAATTTTTTCCCAGACTCACGGCAAAAGCTGTGGCTCCTCCACTGGCCCACATCCACCTCGGCGTTCTTGCAGGCACCAGCGTAGCGCGCCACGGCGTCGCACAGCTCCGACTGGTTGCCTCCGCTCTGGCACAGGCGGAAGAGACACGTCCTGTAGTATGCCGAGACATTGACCACGCTGTGACACTCCAGGAAGGAGCTGTTGGTGGGGTCGTTGATGATGCCGCAGTTGGAGCGGCTCCTGTAGGACTTGAGCAGCTCCGAGTCGTTGTTGCACGCCTTGAGGAGGTCCCCGCACTCCCCGTTGCAGATCTCGTCGAACGTGGTCCAGCTCTCCAGGAAGAGCTCCAGGTTGTCCGTGCACTTGCCCTTGGGCAGGCAGAACTCGTCGCTGCTGTTGCCGTTGAAGAAGCCACACAAGCCCCCGGTACAGTTGAAGTAGGCGGTGGAGAGGCGGATCTCCAGGAGCCCCGAGTTGTAGTAGCCGATGCTCAGCAGTCCCTCTGCCTCCGTCACGGTGCCGTTGTCGTTACGGTAGATCTCCAGGCGGCCAGAAGGGTGGAAATATGGCAGCTCCACGTCGTAACCATTCACCTGCAAGTAATAAGCGGATCACAATGTGTCAGTAAGGGTGATGTGACTTTGCACAACATTCCCATCTGCTGGCTGCACCGTGATGAGAATACTAAATGCTTCCTGACCCAGGCTCAGTACTTGAAGGCCAGGACCCTCCTTCAAGTGGGAGGATGTAGCTGTCCCCTTTTGCATTTTGCCCCACAGAGGATGTGTTTTCAGTAAAGAACAAATTGGAGAAGAAAATAGCAACTTTAGGAAAGCCTCCAGGTTCGACTTAGTGAACAAATGGGAATAACAGGGGTTATATCCTATATAACCACTATATCAAATCCAGTGCTGTGGACACCACAGTATTGCTTTCCTCCCCTACCAAACTGCTCCTTCTGGGGGAGTTGGACAGTGGCTGCCCTGTCCACTCCCAATGAAACCTAGAGCTCAGATTTGCCTGACCCAACCGAGCCCTTTCTTCATCCTGCACCATCACCCACTGCTGATAAATGCTTGGCTAGTAAGTGCTTGGCAAGTGAGGCTTGGCTGGAAATGTCACCCATTGCTCCATTTAACAGTGCCCAACAAAACAGCATCCCACCTGCTCTCCTGTGGCCTTCCTGGCTCAGCAAAACAAAGAGCAAAACCTCAGCTGCAATATGGAGTTCCAACAAGTAAGGTTGGTATGCAAAAGGCACAGAGACCTTTGAGCAGGGATATTCCTTCTTTTCCACAGCCATTTTGCTGACCATAACAACATTATAGCCACCAGCTCTGCTGGCAACCGTGCTGTTAATCAAAATCCAAGAGCTTGCAATATATGGGTGCTAATTTTATTTTCTGCTTGCCCCCAGCCTTGTTAGCTCTTTGACGTGGTTTGCATGGGCTGTGCCATGAGAACAGCATCTCAGTGAGTACCTGCTGCCTTCTGCCTCTACCCACCCAGGGACATGGATGGAAAGTCTATGGGGCAAGGACCATGAGAGGACACGATCCCCGTCCTTCTGCCTCTCACTTTGGAGGGAGTGGATGGACTTCGGCACTTGTGATGGTCCCGACATGGAGGAGCAGTCCAAGGCCATGAACCCACAGCATCCCCAAGGGGACATCGTGGCACGGCATGAGCCACTGCCTCCCACCCCAACCCTCGGTGGCACCTTTACCTTGACCTCCGACAGGCTGGTTCCTCCGACCTTCACCTCTTGGCCAACCACCTGGATCCGCACAACACGCAGCCCATTGGGAACGTATCCTGGCTTCTTTTGGCTGATGTCCACCTCGATGAAGTCTGGCCTCTCCGCACAGGTTTTGAGCAGCGTGTAGGAGTGCTCCAGCGGATAGGGGAAGGCGACGCCGTCAAACGTCTGCAGCACCTGGTTCTGCCCCACCAGGCACAGGCTCTCCCGCTTGGGGTAGCAGCCCCGGTAGCCGTTCTCTATAGTGCAGACCTCTCCTTCGGGGCAGGTGATGTTGAAGCACTTGGCCTCCCCACCATCCTCGCACTGGCATTCCACCGTGCAGTCCGCCGTGGCCCAAAAAGACTCCCCGACGGCGTAGTACCGGCCGTCCACGTCGCAGCCACACTTTTGCACGGGGATGCAGTGGTCGGCGCTGAGGACATGGCCCTCGTCACACTCGCAGCCCTCAGCACACGGGGAGGTGCAGGACAGTGGGGCCGTCAGGTCCGAGCAGGAGGCAGGGCAGCTGCTGGCACACACCGAGTAGTGGCTGTGCTCCGGGCACCGCACGGCCTCTGCTGTGGGGGCAGAGGGGACACAAACAACAGGAGGAGCACGTTACTATGTGGTTTGGGGCCACAGACCTCGTTCCTACTGACCCACGGCAGTGGCAGTGTGAAATGACCCAGGGACATCACTTTCCAGTAGACTTGGCCTTGCCATTTCTCTCCTGTGCCTTCCCTATTCCCTTAACGCAAGCAAAAGCTTCTCCAAAATAGTCCCAGCACGGTCAAGCCTCCTGCAGCAATTAAATGCCAAAAAATGTGGGTGGGCTGAGCAGTGTGCTGCCAGCCAGCCTGCACTCCAGTCCAGCCTCCAACATCACAGCAGCCAACTTCTGCCTGACCTTTTCTACCCTTTTGCTATCACCAGACTCTCACACCACATAGGGTTGGGATCGATTGGCTTCTGCCAGACCCACTCTGCCTTGAGCAACTCCCTCCTCATCGTTCCTCCCATCTAGATTATCTCCCATTGAGATTATTTCCCATCGGGATTATCTCCTGCTGAGATTTCCTCCCATCAAAATTATCTCCTAGGTATGAAGGTAGGCACCCACAAGCACCCCGACACTTACCGCATCCCGCCTGGGTGCGCCACTCTCCCACCGGGATGCCCAGGGCTTGGCACACCGCGGCGTACGCCTGCACGGCTTGGCACAGCCCGGTGCCGTTATCCCGTGCACTGCACAGGTCGTAGACGCAGCTGTGGACGAAGGCGGTGGGGTCCACCACGGCACCACACTCCCACAGCGGCCCGCCGCTCTTGTTGATGAAGCCACAATATTCGGGGGAGAAATACAAGGACTCGGTGGTGGCGTCACAGATGCTGCAGTTCTCCACGCAGCCGGGTAAGCACTTTCTCTCGGGGTGAGGTACTTGCCAGCTCTCGCCCAGCTCTGGCACAGACACGGCCAACCTCCCGTCCGAGCGCAGGATGTCGTCCTCGGGGTCTTTGTTGTAATTCCCACAGAGACCGCACGTGCCGTTGATGTACGTGCCAGGAACGGAGACGGAGGCATAGTGTTGCCCATCGTAAGTCACTAGTAAGCCAAAATCGGTCTCCAGAGCTGTGGACAAGCCACTTTGGTAGACTTTTATTGCTCCCAGCTCCAGGGAGATGGGTAAGGACACCACCAAGTCATCCACCTGCAGGAACACAACCGCATGACTGAGACATTGCAGGAAATAGCAAGAGGTTTCAGATGGGAGCAGTACAACCCTGTGTCTACAGATGGGTGCAGAAGGTCAGCCAGCCATCAGTAAGTTTCAGGCCTCTGTTGACCCATGGCTTTGCCACCAGTGCTTTCCACCCCAAGGGACACACAGAGCCACGAAGCACCATCCCAGGGTCTTGGGGCTGCCAGCACAGTCCCACCATCACCTTGGAGGACCCAACCCACCAAGTTCACCCCATTCAATGAGGCTCTTACCTTTGCTTTCCCAAAGCTGCCCTTGGGGAGGACGATCTTGTGTGAGTAGACCTCCACAAAAATGTCCCTCAGCCAGGAGACGGAGGAGCCGCCTCGGTTCTCGTTCTTGGCCTCCACGTTGAAGTAGGGCAGCTGGGAGCCTGGCCAGCACTGCCTGGCGAGGAGGTAGGAGCAGGAACCCTGGAAGTGAAAGAGGAAGCCGTCGAAGGTGTGGTAGTGCGGATCTCCGAACACCACGCAGGTGCTGCTCTCCACCGGCACGCACTGGAAGAACTTGATCTTTGGTTCGCACTCTTCAAAGGGGCCACAAGCCACCTCCTGGCAGAAGATCTCATTGTTGAAGTCCAGGCAGCGGCACTTGGTGGTGCAGTTTGAGTTGTCCCAGAAGATTTCCCCTTGACGGAGAAACTGTCCTAAAATTGCATGAAAGAAAAAGAAAAAAAAACACAACGTGCTGCATCACTTTTCACTTTTCTTAACGGAGGAACCTCACCCACAGTTGGAGGCATGGTTACATCAAAACATGAATTCCTCAGACAAGGCTACGGGTCCTACAGAGAGGTCTGCAGGTCGTATGCCCACAAAGAGATGTGCTGCCGGGCTTCTCAGCCGCTTTCTGCACGCTGCTGGCAAAGCAATGCTATCACAGCTGAGCTTGCAGTGCGCCCTGCATCCTTTTTGAGACCTTCCCACACCAAAGTGCAGCAGTCGGTGTGAGCACCATGTGGGTTGGCTGACTGGTGGGCTATTTCTCCTGGGTTTGAGTCCTTCTGCTGTTACCAGAAGCAATTTAGTCCCAGTCCAAAAAAGCTCATAGTGTTAGGAGACCAAGGAGCTGCTGGTAAGTAACTTCCACCCCACACGTGGGATCCGATGAGCGATCCCCCAGCCAGCAGACAGGAGATGGCAGAGTAAGGGTGGCAGACACCCGTGTGAGCTTCCTCCCCTCCATATGGCTGTCTTTCACACCTCTCCTTCACGCGGATTGCACCGCGCACGCTGCCTCTGCTTTACCTCTCCTAAACTTTTTGTTCTCTTCCCCGCCTGCTACAAAAAAATGCTGTTTTACAGTTCCCTGTGACGAACATCTCCTTAAGTGAGATCTGCTCGCAATGGCTCCTGCACCAACCATCCTGCTGCGTGCGATTGCAGCAAACTGGAATTTTAGGATCGGTGAACCCAAAACCATTCTGGGGCTGCAAGAGCCTTTGGGTCATCCAGGTCGTCTTTGGAACAATCCTAAACCAGGCCATAAGGAAGCAGGGCAGCCCAGAGCTGTGACATCTCCAGCATCCAGCAGAAAGTGACAACTCCCTCGTTACAGACTCCAGGAGTACAGCGGGTGCTCCTGACAGCTTTGTTTGTCAAATGCAGTGGTCTCTCCGTAGCACAGACCCCACGATGTCTCATTTAATCCCTTTCCATCTCCATGCCACCAGTGACGCATGCACAGACACTGCAGTTGGTGCAGGAGCATGGAATTTATCACGCCCCAAAAAAAAACCCCACAGAAACAAGGGAAATGGGACCACTCCATCAGCTTCCCCATCCCAGGGACAAGAGGGCACAGCCGTCCCCAGGTCTTTCTCACGAATAAAATAGTCTCATGGAAAACCCTGTCTAAGAAAATTATTGAGGTACTTCTCACATCTCCATCAGCACTGCAGCAATTAATCGAGACAACCTCCAGGTGTTGTTTGGTTCCTGAGAACCCCTCGAGCCCCATCAGCCCTGGACTGTGTGCGTCCAGGCAGCAGAAACGGAGGCTTTTAGCAACGCCTTGCTGACGAAACCACGGGAGTGAAACCAAGCAAGCACTGGCGACAGCTTTGTTCACTGGTGGTTGAAGCCTCCCAAAGCTTTATGGGCCCCTCTCGTTTTTCTCAGAGCTTCCAAGTCAGGTCTCATCCACACTGAGAATTGGCCAAAAACGTGCATTGTGAGCTCATTCTCCAGCCGTCCAAGAGTCAGCACATAGGGATGCACCAGAGTTGGACAAGACATGCCCACGCAGAGACAAATGACAAACCTCTCTGTCCCCATGACCTTTTGCCATTCTGCACCCCAAAACTTGTAAAAAGGCATTGCTATTTCTCTCTTACCTCTCAGGCTGCAGCCGTTGGCCGGGTCTATTTCTCTGCCATCTATTTTGAAAGCCCAGCGCCCAGGCACATTAACGTTGGTCGTTTCCTCTATATTGACTATGTCTGGGGTTCTGGAGCCTGGGATGCTGAAGAAGTTGGTGACGTTTCCACCGTTGAAGCCAGCCTAACACAGGGAGAGAAAAAAATCCATCACACATCCATCCTCCTCGCAGGAAAACAACGCTGCATTTCTGCCCCTCTCTGCTCGCAATAAATCCTGAGTATGCTGTCTTTCATCTCAAAGCGTTTTTTTTTTCAGGAATCTCAGTTTTCAGGTAGTTTGGATGTGAGTGAAAATCTCCGCAGGCACTACAAGCGGTACAGATCTATGTTTACATTTTTATGTAGGTTTAAATCTATGCAAAAAAATTACATCAGGGAAGCTGTGGGCAACTATCAAAGAGCTGGGGAGAGCTGAGGACATGGGACCCAGAGCCTCACCTGGGCCATCACCCCGCCGAGCCCGGTCAGGGGATCCCCTCCGCTGGCCGTCCCCGTGGTCCAGCTGATTTCCTGGTAGTTAAATATGGCAAAGGACGACACCCCGTCGGTGATCAGCACAGCTTGAAAAGTGTTCACCTGGGGAAAACATCAACGGAGTCACAAGGTGAGGTGGCTTTTCTCCTGATGCCCTTCTGCCACGCTCATCCCTAGCCTGGGAGAGCTGCAGGAGCACGGCAGGGACTGGGATCAGGAGCAGAATGGGACCCGAAAATGCTTCCTCTTGATGCTGTGATGCCAGCTGCCCCCATCCCCACCAGCCCTTCCATCTGGGAAGGCAGCAGTGCTGTCTCCAATCCAGTTCAATGCCAATAGATGGCAGCAAGAGAATGAGCTTGTGGAAAACAAGCCCTCAGCAGGGCTCGGGCTGTTGTGACCTGTTATCTTCCATTACCCTGCCTTAGCTTTCTTCCTTGACGTGTTTTCTTACCCAGTTCCCTGCTGCATCCATATTCCACAACGCTACCGGTGCGTTACAGCCAAGGCAGCCGTGTGGATTGTGTTTTGCCTGGCTGCCACATCCCATTTCTACCTGCTAAATCTGCTGATCGGGCCCTTCCTTTGGTTGAAATGACTCTGCATTTCCAGCCCCAAACACTCCAATAAATACAAAAAACTGCAAGCCCTGTACAGGAAGAGCATGGCCAACAAGGGCAGCATAAAACCGAGCTCTTCATTTTGCAGTTGCACGGAGGGGATACCTGCAGGTGTCCCCTATCCATGTAAATCCAGAGGCAGGATTCACCCATGGTAAGATCAGAGAATCACAAAATACTAGGGGTGATGGATCATCATTCCAGGGGTGATGGAAACATGTTGGATCCATTCCAAATCACAGCAGAGGACAAAGCATGCACTGCACCTCCTACAGAGGTCTCCCTCTGGACCTGATGTCCAGAAAATGTCTTTCTTTGCGCTGCTACCAGGGCTGTGGGCAGCCCTTGGGACTCTCACTGCAGACCACAGCACGCCCAGAATGTCCCCAGCACAGTGAGACAAAGCAGTTTTCTGTCTCCCATCACCTCCTCACCCTGCCTGGAGGTCTGTGATTGCTTTCCAGCAGAGACAGCACGTTACTCCAAGCCGGAGCATACTCTGCCTCTGCTGTGGCACCAAGAGGGGCAGACCCTGCTCTGATGGCCCCAGGAGGTTGCAGATCTCCAATATTCCTCATTAGGAATACGTTCACGAACCACAGAAACTTCCCAGTCTGCCACTTGTGGACAGAAACGCATTGAGCACCCTAACCCTATGAAAAATAAAATAATAAATAAATAAAGCTCTTGTAAACCAAACCCATTTGCTCCGGAGTCACCGAGAGACTGCAACTGCAGCATCCCCAAGGCCACATTCGCAAAATTGTTTTCTGCAGCGATTCTGCACTGCGATGAATTTCCTGCTTAAGTTGCATTGTGCTATTCCACGTGCCAACCCCGAGCCTTGGCCGCTACTGAGTGGGAAGACTGCTCTATAACAAAATAAATTGCATTGTGTTGCAAATGTAATTCCTCGGGCAATACACGAACCTCTATATTGCTTGCTGTCTGCAAATATATATATATGTATTTTTTTTTCTGCAAGTGCTGCCAGGACTGGCAACAAATATGCATTAAATTTTGAGCCTCTCTAACAAATGGAAAAGAGCTGAATTGTTTAGCAGAGCCAACTCCTCGAGACAGAAACGGCAAACTTCTGGCACTCGCAGAATGCACACAAATACTAAAAATTACTTTCCCAAACAACAGTCTGGGAAACAGATCTTACTTGCTGCCTGCACCCCAGCCTCCTGTGAGGTCCTGCCAGTGGCACAGATCTCCCTGTGCCAGCTGCTTGCAGCAATTTGCAAGCCTTTCATGTCTGCAAAACCATCTCAGCACCATCGCTATCCTCAACGATGGGACTCGCACCCTTATGGAAATAGAGCCCACAGCCAAAATCCACGTGTGGCTCTGGTCAGTCTGGAGGGGTCAGCTGTCAGCACAGAGCAGCCAGCAGCCCCTCTGAGTTTCCCCTTTCTGTTTCAAGCACAGGTTTTCAGAGCAGCTGTCCCCTCCCTTACACCCGATGCCCTTGCTGCCCCCTGGAATTAGCGCTGTGCCACAAGAAGAGCCACCACCATTTGGAGCAGAACCTGGGCTCCTGCATGAAGGCTTTTAGTCCGAGGTGCCCGTCCACAAAAATATCTCTGCATTACCACTGTGCTCAAGGCACGGAGGGAGGCTGGCATCTGCACAGCCACAAGATGATTGAGGCTGAATGATCCTCAGCGGCGTCAGAGCCATGTCTTGGCACGCTGCCTGCCAGCCGATGCTGTCCCTGGAGCTCTGCGAGCACCGAGCAGGGCTCGTAGACAGAAGGACAGGACCCTGGTGCCCAGCTACAGGAGAACAAAGCGCCCTACCCAGCCTTACACCCCGGTGTATATTTGTACACAGATGGATGCACAACCATCTAACACTACCCATCGAGGCACACGGCCGAGTGCTCCTACCGGCGTCGTGCTGCTCCCTCCGTAGAAAGTGACCTCCTCCCAGGTGACGATGAAGACCCAGGTGGCAGAGAAAGAGGACATGTCCTTGAAGTGCTTGCGGATGTCTTTGGAGGCTCTCCTCAGCAGCTCGGGGTCCGTGCTCTCCCTGTAGTAGATCTCCCCGCGGATGCCGTTGTGCACGTCTGCCCAAAAGGGCGCGACGAAGGCCCGGCCGTCTGTCAGGGGGAAGGCCTCCGGGGTGAACTGGCTGACCAGGGCGTTGAAGGAGATCACGCCGTTGTTGTTGACCTATAAAGAGGACGGGGGGATTGGAGAAAGCCCTAGCAGCAAGCTGCTGGGGCATCAGAAAACGTGGGGTGAGCGTTTCGGAGGGGGATGGTTGATGGGAACGGCAGCCCATGAGAAGTCCTGGACAAGAGGGAATGGTCTTAAATTGTACCAAGAGAGGCTCAGGTTGGAAATTAGGAGATATTTCTTCTCAGAAAGAGCAGTCAGGCATTGGGACAGGTTGCTGAGGGAGGTGGTGGAGTCCCCATCCCTGGGGGTGTTAAAGGAAAGGCTGGATGCGGTGCTTAGGGACAGGGTCAGTGGTGACATTGGCAGTAGGGAAAGGTTGGACCAGATGATCTTGGAGGGCTTTTCCAACCTTCATGACTCTGATTCTGTGATTCTATGATCGAGGCACATACACCCTACTGGTGGAGGCCAGCACAGTCACAATGGCTGCATGCAGGAAGCCCCAGGCAGGACAAAACCCTGCAAAACCTACAAAAACTGCCCAGCTTCACCATCCCCGAGCACCGCCTGCAGGAGCCCCTTTTCCCTCTGCCAGGATCTTGCTGCTCCATCGCTTGCAAACAGCAGCAGCCTGCCCTTGTCGTGGGCACCTCCACGTGCGGCCAAACCACCGCCTCTTTTTTCCTTGTGGGTCTCTGCGTGTTCTTGTTTCTTGTCATGTAACAGGAATAATGTTCCTTGTGTCAAGCCCTGAGCTTTGCTGTACCATTTAATCACCTACAAAGACAATTTATTGCCTTTTATATTCCTTCCCCTTGAACATTAGCCCATTAACTATACCTTTGACTTTCTTAATCATAAAACCTATCAGTTCATGAAATCTAAGAACTTGTCAGGTGGGTGCTAATAAATCTTCCCATTCCTGACGACAGCGAGAGCGCGTTTAAAATGCAGCAGCTAATGGCTAGGAAAAGAATAAAAGGAAGGTCTGCTGCTCCGCTTACATAAACGCTTCTGTACGGGGCTCCAAAAAAGATGAACGGGATGGAGAGCTTGATCTCGGGAGAGCTTCCATCATCGACTTTGGGTGTCCTCGTGTCGTTGTGCCAGAAGGGATACAGGCTCGCCATGGCGTGATCTGCGAGGAGAGAGAGGAGGGAGTCCTTACGGCTAAGTCCTGACTTTTTGGAGAGGGCACGGTGGGGACCGTGGCTTTTCCTGCCCCCGATGGCAGGGGCAGGAGAGAGAGCATCGCCCAAGGGTCCTTTGGGGCCAAGCCAGCCACGCTTACAGCTCCCAGCAGCACGTTTTGCTTTCTGCATGACTGTGCCCAAGCCTGTGCTTCAGCTTCACATCGCTACAGCACCCACAACAGCCCTGCTGCCCCCAAGATGTGCCGGAGGTGCTGCTTCATGCCGTGCTCAGAGAGACCAACTGAGACCCAGGCAACCCCATGGCCACGCTCCTCCTGCCCGTGCCCCCAAAGCCCCCAAAGCAGGGCTGGAGCACCAGGGGCAGTGCCCTTCTTGGCACGGGCAGGTTTCCTGCTAAAAGGCTCTGCTGGTGAGCGTAACTGCCTCTCCTGGAAACATTTTAGGAGATGCTTTTGATGTGTGGCAGCACAAGCCTGCTGCTTTCTACCAGACTAAAATCCATTTTCCAATCAGCTCTCGTCACAAGCAGACACTTCTGTCCCCAGGGCACGTGTCCTTCTCCGCTGCAGCCCCTGCCAGGTCTCTGCCATCATCTCATCCCCTGTTTTTGTCAGCTGCCTACCAGCGTGGCTCCTCACCCAGCAAACGGGGACTTTGTGCCCTTTCCTCCCCCTCCTCCCCTCTTTGATGTAGAAGAGCAGCGCACAGCCCTCGTGATATTCGATCACAGCTGTTGGGAGCCACCGGGCTCCGAACAATCACGGCTCTGTTTACCTCGATTCGGGACATGCTTTTATTTCCTAGGTCCCAACCTGTGCCCCTTGGAGGCCTCCAGCTGCAGGCAGCTTGCTGGATGGGGCCGGGATGCTCTCTTCAAGCATCCTCCTCAAGGCTGCCCAGCCAGCATCACCGGCTGACCCCTCTTCGTGTCTCCAACCCAGCCTTAAGGGGGATGGAAACAAGGGGAAACCTTTTCTGACCTGGCTGCATCCTAAAAAAAAAACACACACACAACCCAAGTGCCCTGCCAGACATAAAGGGAGGCGACGTTTGACAGCGTCCGCGAGCCTGGTTTCACAGATATATCCAAAAACTCCTCGCTGGCAGCCTGTAAAGCCAGTCATTTCACAGCTGCTACACAACTGACGGGTTATTACAGCCGAGGCAGAGCTCCCAGACGCAGATTTGACTTCTTCTCTAAACAGGGAGCTCAGCACAAACTTCCCAGGGCTGGCTCCCTCAGCAGCACCGCGGCGCTTTGCATGCGGCACGGCGCCTCGCCGAGCACCGCTGGGCCCCGCCGATAATGATTTTTGCCTGGGTGGCATTTCTCATGGCTGAACCAGTCGGCCTCATTTTCCGCCTGAGGACGCAGAGCCCCGGCTCGTGCCCGACAAGCTCAGCCCCACGGCACCTCAGCCGCCGGCTTGGGGAATGGCTTCAGGATTTCCCGGCTCCCTGTTTCCATCCTGGAGGTCCTGGGGTCAGCCCCACGCCCAGCACTGGCCACAGGGTGCAAATCTGCCACAATACCAACCTAACGTGGCTTTTCCAGTCCGTAGCAACTCAGCTTGCCCTTCTTTAAATTAGCACGTAACCAAAATTAATCACCCCATGAGACTGGGGAGCTGCTCCTGCGCTTTTCACCACCCTATCAGACCACAGCTCAGGGCTCCTACCCGACCCCAGGCAGGTCACCAAGATTCTTCCAGCCTGATTTTCCAAACCTCCTCCTCACACAAAGCTGTGAGAACTGGGCAGGAGCTGCTGCAGATGCCCCTGAGACCCCACCAGGCTATGGGCACCTCTGCTCCCGCTCGTCCCCAGCAGGCACCCAAGGGAAAACCTGGCTATGAGCAAACCCTGACATTTTGCTGCTGCTCACTGATTGATTCCTTAGGTGGCATTGGCTGGTCGTAAGAAATTCTTCATACTTTATTCTGTAACACTGGCAAGACTGCTGCAACCTCTCCAACGCACCCTGTGTGCGCACACAGACCTCCCCCCGATATACGCACCCATACATAAAGTGCTCAGCGAGGCCGGATACCCGTCGGCTTTGCTGCTGACTTCGTATTCAGAGCAGCACGCCAGCTCCTCATTTAGCCTAAATTCCCCGTGCTTCATTGCTCTCAATGAGGCGAGGGCCATTTGCACAGGCGGGAGATCCATCTCCGCCACGCGCTCTGTCCCTGCTGCAGATCCGGTGCCGGTGCTCACCCACAGGGGCACACAGATCTCCCCGCGTGGCCATCACCCTTCAAACCCGCCAGCCCTCTGCCCCGGGGAAATGCTAAATCCACCCTTGCACTTGCTCCAACCAAGGGAAGGGGAATTTTCAGGGTGAAAATCACCATATTTCGTGGTCCCAGGGCATGGCACTGCTCTGAAGCTTTCCCCTCTCAGCCGGGGAGCGGTACTCACCTTGGTGCCGCACGGTCATCACCAGCAGGGCCACCCAGGTCCCGAGAAACGATCGTTTGTTCATCCTAAAGGGCAGAAAGAAAGGAGGACACGCATCACTCCCCTGGGAAATCCCATCCCCAACCAGGCGCTGGGTGGTGCAGAGCTGCGGGTCTCTTGCCCCCAGGCAGACCCGAGATGCCTCCTTCGTTAAGGGCCATAACGAGACCTCCCTGGTGCTAATGGGAGATCGCCCTTCGGGTATGTCACGACAAGCCCATAACCACATGGAAGAGCTGCTAATTTCAGGAGGTGTCGGGAAGTTGCCAAGAGCCCGGTGTGTCCCCATGGTTCGGAAGCAATTCCTGCCCCCCAGGGGGGAGCCCTGGGCCACGGCCCCACCAGCCCCCCAGGGTGGCTGCTGGCACAGCGATCCCCAACACCTCGGGCTGCAATGAAGGATGCACAAACATTTACACAGCTGGGCACCTCTTGCTGTACAGGAATCAATGAGCGAGACAGGAGCAGATACGAGGCTGGGAAACGGGAAGCGAAGCCCTGTGCCAGCTTTAATTCCTTCCGTGCCTAATGCAATTTGTTCGTCATTATTAATCCAATCGAAGGTATCGCTAAAACACCTGCTTTGATTTCTTCGCCCGTCGCTTTCGCTCGCTGCACGTAGGCATGGCTCGGGCACGGCTCGCAGGAAGGTATCGACTGCTCCCAGCATGTGCGTGCAGGAGAAGATGAGCGGCTTCAAACTACCCCTAAACCTCGCGTGCAGCCTGCCTACACCAGGCAGGATCAGCCTCCCTTCCTATGGCCCATAAGCTGCAATTTCATGGCCACGATGGCCACGAAACACAGCATCTCTGCAGCTCACCCGTGGGATTTATTCCTATAACCAACAGGGAGCAACAGATGCGGCTACTTCTGATTATTCACACATAAAGCCCAGGGATACAGCAGGGGACATGGCTTTGGGAAGCCCAAAGCCCCGGGCGAGGGGAGTTTCTCCCTGCCCCACTGCTCAGGGCACCGCTCACGGCCACAATCTGCTGCCCACGACCTAGCTCCTAGAAAAACTCATTCCCCCAAGGAAAAGCTTCACCATATTCCCTATCTCGGAAGGCAGAAAGCAAGCAACAGGATGTTAGAGAGGTGGCAAATCCCAGTCGCTGTGGGGTTGTTAGCAGAGAGCAGGCAGGACTAGCAGGGACTAGAGCAGCCCGAGAACAGGAGCAAGCCCAGCACCGCTCGGGTGCCACATAAAGATATCACTTAACGTGCCCTATACAAAAATACGATTTATATATTTTTTTTTTAGGTATGGAAAAAAATTACCCACCTGCTTCGTAGGCGAGAGGAGCAAGGAGGTCTGAAATATTAGACCGGTCTTGGTAGAACAGGGAGAAGGCTTAGGTCAACGCAGAACGCATGCCGCTGCTCTTTGGCCAATTATTGCCGATGAGTGGAGCGACGTCTCGGTCCCCTTGCTCTGGCAATTGAAAAGTCCCTTTTTGTCAATGCTGGTTCGGGGCTGGAGGAGTGTAGAGTTGCAAATCACAAGCGGTGCCTCTATTGATAACCGGCGGGCTAATCTGGAGATCAGATTCTGGCCTGGAGAGGGAGAGGAGCCACTTTCTTCCCCAAATGCTCACCCCTCGGGTGGGTGCAGGTGGAAATGTCAGCTAGCCGGAGCTGGGCTTGCGGCCGCTCTGCTCAGCATTGCCTTTTGCTAAAGGAAAAAGAAAAAAAAAAGAGAGAGAAAAAAAAAAAAACTCAAAGAATTGAGCCCCTTCCTCCTTTGTGTAAGTGAAGGGAAAAAAAAAAAAAGCCCTCTATATAGTGTTACAGGATTAGCATTAACAGTGCGAGGCTTAGAGCACCATTCACAGGCAGTGCCCCCAAAGCTTCAATGCTCTTACTTTTCCACCAAAGTCTTGCTCCGGTTTCTCAAGCACAACACACGTCTGCTTTTACAGGTGGGAGAGGAAAAGCCTCCCAGTGCGTCCGTAGGTGCTCCCCAAGGGTGCTGGAGAGGATGAGAGGGTGTCGTGGCTGCTCCCGCTGCCGCCTGCTCGGCAGGGACCGACTTGGGTTTTATTTGAGCCAAAGGGGATGTTTCAGTGGGGCACTGCTGCGAGCCTTAGCCCTGGTTCCCCCATAAAACCTGTGATTTTCACGGGGCTTTTCCCTGCCTCTGGGCTGCACGCCTCGTGGGCAAGCCCCCACATCAGCCAAGGATGTTCTTGCTCCGTCTCCCCTTCCCTCCACCTCCAGCGGCTGTACATCTCCGCAGGACTTGGGTTTTGCTTGATCCGCATCTACCTCGAGGGACAAAACCGTGGCACGGCTGAGCTGAGGACCTGTCACACACCTGCCAGCTCCGTGCGGGCTGCGAGCCTCCAGCTGTGCCGCGGGGAGCAGAGCAGCCTGAGCTGGAGCCTGCGAGAAGATCTCCGGCGATTTAATTTGGTTCATACACACACACACACACAAAAAAAAAAAAAAACAAAGCCCAGGCACATTTCCACGTCCCCAAGCTTTGAAACTCAATGGAAAAAAACAGGTAGCTCACCCCTTCCTTGGAAAGGCCAGCTTAGCCAAATCCTCCCTCCAGCACCACTGCCACAGCAAATCCCACACTTCGCTTCCTCTTCATCCCCCAAATGTGGCCCTTTATCCTCCAAACATGGCCTTGCCAGCAGGAAGCTTTCACTTTATTATTATTATTATTATTATTATTACTATTACTATTATTTCTTTTCTAGACCAGCAGTGCCTTTAGGGCTCTGATATTCCCTGGATTACTTCTAGCCTGCCGCTCCGTGCACCCTGGCTCTTCCCTTCCCTCCCATCCACATTTTAAGTTAAAACCAAAGGAAAACCCAGTGACTCTAATCCTGGTTTGTAAGACAAACCAGTGCCGGCAGGTTTCCCTCTGCTCCTTTTTCAGTTTAATCTTCTGGTCCTGCTTGTCCTGGGCAAGTCTACACTGATGAAGTTTGATTAGGTTTCACTGCCTCTTTGGGGAAGATTTTCCCTTCTAGGTGATTTTCTTTTGGCAGGGGATGCTCACATCCTGCGGTGCTGAGCACGTCGGGAGCCGAGCAAGCCACTATCGATTTATTTTCCAGAGAAAATTCCAACCCACGGCCAGCCTTGAGAAAAGCAAGCAGTAAAGGACGAGGTGCGGCAGGCAGTGCTCAGCCACGTGGCATCCCCATTTTGTGGGACTCAGCCCGAGGAGGACGCCCTGGTGAGGGTTTATTCCAGGATCCCACATCATTTAGCGGAGCAAAAAGCCTCGGCAGCTCGCCCTCTCCCAGAGGTGCACGGGTGAGACAGAGGGAATCATTTTGCTTCAGGGAGCAAGGAAGGTCAAAGCTCAGGACACTATTTCTTTTTTATTTTTTTGTGCAAAAACTGAAGTTTATTGAACTGATCCAAACCAATTACCTAAGTGGCCTGAATTCCACTGCTCGGTCCGCGAGCAAACCGAAGGCAAATTGCGGGCGCGGGAAGCGGAGTCCCCAAGAGAGAACCCAGAACAAAACCTGCGATAGACTTACAGCTTTCCCTTTTGCTTCAAAATTACACACGGATGCATAATTAATAGGGTGCGAGAATAGACCTTCATGTTTAAATCATATTTGAAGATGCCAGGAAGCGCAGCGAAGCAATCACAGCGGCAAAGGCCTGAGATCACAGAATCACATCCCGAGCTGGAAGGGCCCCACAGGGCTCATCGAGTCCAACTCCTGGAGGTGGCCGCAGCCGCCTCGAACGCAGCTCTGGGGACGGCGCCTCGTACCGCCTGCAGAAGCGCCACCATCAAATGAGGGTGGCACAGCTGCCAGGAATACATATTTTAGCCTCCGGGCTGCTTTCAGCAGATCGTTTGCATTTTCCAATCCGGGAATCTCATTTACAAGCAGAAAACGGTGACGGGGGGAGGCAGCGTGACTGCAGACCCGAGCAGGTGATGGCAAACCAAGAGCCTATCCCCAAAACAACGAGAGGGATCAGGAGCAGCTTCCCCAAGCTGTCCCGAGCCCCCCCGTGGACTGCTCTGTATCGTCTGGTACCAGGTGGATGGGGGCATCCCCCCACCAAACTGGTGGCAAACCACAGGGAGGGAGCGGAGGACGGCAACACGCTTGCAACATCTGGTCAAAAACGTGGATATTCAATAGGAACGTCCCCAAAAACACAGCACAGCATCGAATCTCGATCCGCAGAGCCGTGCAAAACTTTGGTATATAGCTGTTCCCTAGCTCCTGCCGAACCAGGTGCTTTTTCCACTGCGCAGACTGCCCGCGGCAGATCTTTATGCATGAACTAGCATGAACAACAAAACAGTTCTTGACAAAAGTAGCGCTTGGATAAAAGGACACAAGAGCTAGAGAAGCTTGCAAGCCTGTATTTTGCTTTCTGGAAGGAATGTGACAGAACCAGGGACCTTTTGCCAATGCGGGTACGTCAACAAAACCGGGATGCAGCCCCTCGTGACACTGCATTTAGAGCGAGCCTCCTGCCACCTCGGGACCCTCCTTCGTTGTCAGAGCCCACCGTTGGCCCCAAAATCCCTCTTGTTCACAGCCCTCCCCTTCATCCCCGAGCCACGGTCCCGTTAAGCAGTACATTGCCCAAACACACATCCCTTCCCCGACAGGTATTACAAGAGGAAAGCAATCCAATTCGGGGCGTTTTGGTGTGTTGCTTGCATGCCACTCTGCCCAACTTTTCAAAGTCAATCATGTGGATGTGTAAATCATTCCTGGGCTTCAGACATGGCTCGTTCTCCTCTGGAAGCCAACCGAGG